CTGTTTGTGTAGGTGCCTCCCCACCCCAATACCCCCCCACCCAGACCTGTGGGGGGGGAATTCCGGGGATTTAAAGCCCAAACATCTAAAAGTTGCCAAGGTTGAGAAACACTGTATTAAATGATAGTTCATTTTTGTGACATGAGGTCATGGAAGTGGCAAAGGATGATACGGAATATTGTCCAATTCATTTGGAAAGCGATTGAGGAATCCCGCCACAGAAAGAAATTGTCTATTGGACAACTTTAAATGATAAAATGGATCCATAACATTTCATTCAAGGCAACTGTATTCGTTAGGATTTGTTTTAACTGGGTTTTTAAAAAAAATGTTTGACTTTTTTTTTCTCTCTCTCACTCTTGGTTTCATTGTTCCCCATCCAGAATTCTCTAGGATCAGGATGGGCTAGAAAAGTTAGGAAATAAATTAAAGCAAGTAAATAAATAATAAATACATAAATATTAGTTCAAGCGGAATTCCAAGAACATAGCCCAGTGATTTGAGTTTAAATGAATAAATAAATAAATAAATATTTTATTTATTTTTCAAATTTATGTATGCCACGTAATTCCAAGACTGGCTCGGCAATTTGAGTTTCTCAAAATGTTCCTGGGCATGGACTTCAGTAGGATTAAAACATTGGAGAAATTAATTATACCAAGTAAGTCATGGCAGGAAGAAGGACATGCATATGTGGGAGAGAAAGTCAAGTAAACAACCTCTGGGCCTCTTGGAATCTGAAAAAGTTCCCTCTCTGTCACATGCACACACACACACATTGTTTTCCTGAACAGATATTTCAAGAAAGTGAATATTCAGCTCTCCTGATAGATGCTGGAAACCCAGCTCTGCTAGGCATGGAACCTGTCATAACTTCCTGAGAAACATATCAGGCCATTTTCTCATTCAGCAGAATTCTAAGAACCAAAGCACTGTAGAGCAGGGTTCCTCAACCTTGGCCACTTGAAGATGCGTGGACTTCAGCTCTCCATGGCTGGCTGGGGAATTCTG